TAACACTCAGTCCTCAAACACAGGAAACCAGGGGCTTTTAGAGGAGCTGGTTTCAGTTAAGAACCAAAAGCATTTTTACAGAGATCTGATACTCTCACTTAAATCTCACGAGAGAGAGAGAGAGAGAGAGAGAGAGAGAAGGAGTATAAAGAACAACCCTCATTTGAAGGGGAAAAATATGTGCGTCATGCAGCTAGATTATTATTCGGTTTTGGAGTATGCCGTTTCAGAATGGAGAAGAATGAACTTGCAACATCATTAGCTATTGCCAATAAAAACACTTTATAGACAGGACACGTAAAAACAGGCAGAGGCATTCAACAGTGTTCTAAAGAATGAACTACAATTCTGAGATTTCTTCTTCGTTCAGATGTCATTCGCTGCTGTAGTCAGTTTGTACCACTAAATCACATCTTTAAATGCTCAAAACTTTTTCTCAATCTGTCATTCTTTCTTACTGTCCTCTCTTGGTCTTGGTGCGTATGACATATTTATGTACGAAATCATTTTAACTTGGCAATACATAATTTTATATGCACAATACTTACCAGTTTATGTGTAGAAACCCTGCTCAGTAGTCTTGATGTGAAAATGCGTATTCTGTGATGCACACAACTCTTGTATGTCTGTGTGAAAGAGAGTCTCTTCCCCTTTATGACAGAGTTCAGGGTCCAAGCTCAGGGAGTGCCACCCTCATGGAAATTACTTCACCAAGAGTGAGACCAAGCTTGAGAAAGAGGGAGTGAAGGACAGAGCAAGAAAGGCAAAAGAGGAGGTAACCACATCCATAAACAGTCATGACTTTTTTTCAGAATCTCTTTTTCTTCATCGTTTTCTGCCCCTCCCATCCTCTCTCAGTTTCCTGTATTGCAATGTACGTCCTTATTTGGGAGAGGGAAAAGAAGCGGTCTGGACAGAGTGAGGAATTTGTTCACATGCCTTCCGCCCAGAGCAGCGGGAAGAGGGCGAGAGGAATGACATGGGCATGAATGAGAGAATATCTTGGCATTTTCTATGGGGCTGCTGATTAGAAGCTTTGATGAAACAGGAAGTCACAGAGAAGACACGACAACCAAATGAAAAATGAAACAAGGGCCAGGGAATCTGGGACAGTAAATGTGGCAAAAGTCAGAGAAAGAAAGAATATCAGACAGACATGCATACCATTCCTGACATGCCATGACATCACTGAACAATGTGAGCTGTACTGATGTCATGATCTGACTTCTGCTTCCATAGTAACACAGAACTGAGTCACTTCCTCTTGCTTTTACTGTATGTATAGATAGCCTTCTGTTAACTTGTCTATCCTCTGTACAGTGTGTTATACATTAGATTTACGTGTTTCCTATGCAAAAATATTGTCTCAAGTTTAGTGTACTGTGTTCTGAGTATAATATATCATATTTATTTGAAAGGGCTTTTCACACTTGATGTAGTTAACGCTGGGTCATTCTAACTTCCGGGTTAACAGAATCTTGTGTTGTCTTGCTTCATGTTTCACACTCCTCATAGTTTACCCAGAGTTAATAACTGGTTTTGCAATCAGTTTTTGGACTATAAGCGTAGGAATGAAACAGTCTCTTCTTCACTCCAATAGACACATTTTCTGTCACCATTTGTCATTTTTCAAAAAATACTGTTTATATGTTTCAAAGTACAAACCACATGAAGCTAAATTCAGATTAAATGCTATTCTTGTCCTGTACACACACAGTTCAGTCATTTACAGGAGTAAGAACCGCATTCTACAACCGAATTAACTCCCGTAAAGTTCGGCTAAACATTGCAACAGTTACAACAATGTCAGTCATTGCAATTTCGAGAGTGAGTTTTGCTACATACACATAGGGCTGGGTGATAAAATTATAACGTTTTATTATCAGATCCAGTGTGAAGCCCTTGAATTTAGCAAAGAACGCAAATGACTCTGTGATTTAAACTAGTTTAAAGCTAGATGAAACAGTGCTGACAAATTAATAACACTGATACATCGATACAGTCAGAAGGCTTTTCAATCTACAAATCGCCATCATTTACAATGGATTTACTGTAGTAACACTAATCACACTATGGTATTGTGGCAGAAATATTGAATATTCATATGGAATTATATAATATTATTAATGTAGACATGTACTGTATTAAATGTATTAAAGGAGTAATGCAATATAATTACAGTATTTTTGTAATTAAGCTATAGCGTTTGTGCCTTTATACTAAATGTATTTAGACTACTGTTTTTTATTGTTTTTAAATGCATGTGGTTGTCACACTTGAAACTTTACAGTGTGTATGTGGCCTATGATAATATGTTGTCAGATTATTAAAATATAGACATATTAAGTGTCTGATGTTGGAAATAATGTAACACTGACTATGAAGTGAGGTCTAAGCTGCAGTTGTTGTCTTGTTGCGCTTGTTGAGATTGATCAGTGGCCGAGGCCTTACAGGGGTGTGTGTCATTCACTGGTCTGGTGTGAGACAAGATAACAGTGGTTCTGGGTGGAGTTCCCCACTCTCTCACTTACACATTCACACAGAAATGATGGTTTTACTACACTACTGTTCAAAAGTTTGGGGTCAATAATTTTTTTTAGCATGGATGCATTAGATTGACCACAAAAAAGTGGTTAATTTCTTAACATAAGCCTGCAGCTGTGTGAAAAACTGATACAACTGTTTGAGAGTGTGTGTATGCATGTAAAAGTATGTCTATGAGTGAAGAGAGGTCTGCATGTCTTAAACAGAGGCCATAGCAATGACTTTGTCTCCACTAATCGTAGTTTATACTATTGAACATAATGATAACATCACTGTCTGAGTGTTTGTGTATATGTTTGAATGTGTATGCAGCTCCGTGGAGCTGTTTTAGCTCTCAGTAGGATAAAGTAAGTATCCGCTAAAGATGGTTCAGCCCCATATGTCCCCACAGATTTCTCTGCCAGACATGAGCTGTGCGTAAACCTGCTCTCCAGCTCTGAGACTGAACGGGACACTCTGTGTGGCGCTGTCTTCTGCATCCTTCCTCCCTGTTGTCCTCCCACATAGCGACCTCAGAACGGCCCTGTCTCACTAGTGCCACCCGCTGGTACAAACGCTGTCCTTCAGATCCTTTGTTTGAGTACACTGTGAGACGGAAGGAGAAGACGCCATGAAGATACCTGAATGAGTCACACACAGATTGATTGTGTGCAGTTTTATGCATTCATGTATGTGTGAGAGAGGATATGCATATTTGGTATATGCATCCTATACCAAATTACTACATTTAACATTTGTTCTTAAAAATGTTATTAGTATATGTCTTAATTTATTTACTCTAAATAATAACATATTTTAAAAATGTAAATAAAAAAATGCATTAATGTGTTTAACCCTCTGATGCATGGAGGCAACAACAGATGTGTAACGTTATTAATTCCATATTATTAGATATTGAATTATTATTTTCTTATTATTTAAACCAAAAACATTTTTAATTATTAAAAAAACTGGAAGTGCGAGGAAGTGCAAAGCACACACAGATGTCTCCCTGAGCTGAAGTCCTCAATGTCTGTGTGTTATAAGAGGGTGATAACTGATAAAACAGAAAAAGGGACAAGAGTATCAGTAGGTCAGCTGGCTCTGGTTGCACGTGTTTTTGCTTGTGTGAAGAACTGGCTGATATTATCAGTTATGGGTGTATCAAAAGCCTTATTTTTATTGGGTCAGTACTGATTTGTTCTTTAGTGAGATCGGATGTAGTATGTGTTTGTGTTGTGGGTTTGGATTTATTATGGTTCATCCCAGAGGTATAATTCAGCAGCATCATCTGTGTAATTATATAAACATAAATCACTAAAATTTCTCAAGTCATAGCATTATCACATGGGAGTATGAAATGGGAAATGAGAGGAACTGGCATATTGTATGTTAGTTTAGTTATATAAAATATAAACAAATTTATTTATTTAAACTTTTATACTATATAGAATTATATGATTTTTGATATTATTATATTATATTATATTATGTGATATGTAGTGAAATGTCTGATGTATACAATGATATATGTCAGTCTAGACAAATTAAGTATATAAACACTAATAACATTTGATATTATAATAATATAATAGTTTTAGAATATTTATAATTTTAATGAAATTATTTATAATAATAAAAACAAAAACATTGATGAATATGAATAGTTGCCTATAAGTCAAGTCACCTTTATCTGTATAGTGCTTTATACAATACAGTTTCAAGGCAGCTTTACAGAGATTATCATAAACAAGAGAATTGTGATTCAACAATGCAAAAAAAAAAAAAATCAGTTCTGCTGTAAAGCAGCTCTAAAAGACAAAAGTAAACAGTCATTATTCAGCTGAAATCAGTTCAGTTAGGTTCAATAACTGTGTAAAGTCCACCAGTTGAATGAGTTGTATTCTTCTATAAAGCAGCTCTGGAGAAAGCAGTGATGTCATCATCCAGCTCAGTTCAGTTCAGATTCATATTCAATAGTGTCTGTGCAGTCAAGTCAATAATATTGCCAGTATTATCATGTGTCCCCAACTAAGCAAGCCAAAGGGCCACAGTGGCAAGAAACCCAGACTTCATCAGTGACAAAAAATAGATTTTTTTGGAATTGTCCATTATTAATTGTGAAATTTTTTTAAATGAAAAGGTCAGGATATTTTGTGTGTGTGTGTGTGTGTGTGTGTGTGTGTGTGTTGACCTTTACTTTTGCTAGATGTGTTTCCACAAGGCTGTTGATGTTAGACAGTTTTTGTTTCAATTATGTATTGTATGATACTACAAATATAAACCATGATACTAAAATTATAAACATACAATAAACTTGTGTTTATAATATCATATCATATCATATCATATCATATGACATTTTAAAATTTAGTTTACAAAATTAAAGAGAGGATGGGCATAAAAAATATTTTATATATAATAAAATAATAGAGATGAAATTCTAAAAGAGAAGTTAAAATGCCACACAATTTTGTTTTTCATGTCAACATTTTATTAAAGTTAGATCAACATCTGTGCCTTTTACAACATTCTATTATCTTACAATCCGTATGTGTGTGTGTCTAGGTTTGTTTATATGGTTCAGACAGTGTCAAATATTTAAAAACAAAGTATAGTAAAACCTGTTAAAAACCAACTTCATTTAAATAGGTCTTCACTAATTAAAATTCATATACATTTACCAAATCAAGTTTTGCTTCTGATCTAGGAAAGTCGACAGGTTTGTGTGATATTTAGGTTTAGAATTCATAATCTTTGTATGAAAACCACTGCATCTATAAGAGCTCCTCACTAATATAGCTTTTAAAGCATGTGTGTGTGTGTGTGTGTGTGTGTGTGTGTGTGTGCTTCACTCTGTAGCATACAGCAGAAAACCACTAAATGTGTTATAGTGATTCTGATCATCACAGATCCAGCAGCCAGCCTGGAGACTGATGGTAATGCGGTCCCCTGTGCTGAGCTGCACAAGCAGGACGGCAGTGGCCTGATCCTCCTGGTCTTGTTCATAAATCTCCCTAAGTGCAGCTAGAGCCACACCATTCCTCCTGATGCTGGCACAGACAGACAGCGATGCGCCTGGTGAGCCTGCATCGCTGAACACAGTAAATGCCAGGTTATACACGCCTGACCGTGGAACCGTGAACACACCAGTGGATGAGTTATAGGCCTCTCCAATGTTGATGAAGATGCTCTGATAGACCACATTTGTCGCTGCCCTCAATGGACCAATGCAACGTCTCTTGTCGGTTAGACCCACAGAAAATGCCACTCGACTGTCTAAAGAGTAAAGAATGTGTGAAATGCATATGTGAAAATATGGCACAAAAAAAAACATAAAATAAATAAGGCCAACAGATTAGATGCTGTTTTTTTTTAGCCAACATAATGTTTTTTCTATATAGTTTTTAAAACAGCATTTCATTTAAGACTACTCAAATGTTTGTTTTATTTTGCCTGTTTAGTTTGTAAGTGCTAGGAAACAAAAGCTTCTCATACATACTGTGTGTGTTTTAGCGAGGTAACGATTCACTCAACGATTCACACAGTGATTTTCTCACTGTTTCTAACTAAATGAGATTTAAGAAAAATTATAAATGAAAAGGTGTCCTCTTATTATAACTTGGACAAAATGCTGCACATATCTTTGTGAAACTGAAATAAGTCAAATAACAAAACTAAATTATACTAAATTATTAAATTTAAAATAAACCTCAAATCAAATAGATAACAAAAAATAAATAACTTGACTTGTGCTCTTTCCATTTGAAATTAGAGGCAACCACTGTATTTTAATCACGATCCAAACAAAGATGCTGCATACATGCAGCATGAGCAGTTTTTAATCAAAGTTTGACTGCATAATTTTGAAATTTGAAGCAAAAACAGAATGGTCAGACTTAATTTTGTGAAACATCTGCACGACAAAAAAAACAGCAGTTGAGCTGAATGAGAACACAAATTCACTCTCTGACAGCAGGTGGCGCTTGTGGAACAGCAACAATATAGCTTGTTTGCCGCTGTAAACAAAACAGCGCTGTGCTTATGAACACTACTTTAATATACATTATATGGAGGCAAGATGAAAAGAAAATAGCATCTAAACATTCAGTCAGTTCCCCTCAGACATACATTCATATAAACTCCTACCCTCAACTGTATTGCGATTTGTTTAACATCTCAACCGATTTGAATCGTCATATATTTCTTCTATGACGTATTTCTAATTTATAGCTTATGTATGACGATATTTATTCGATATATATTTGTATCAATTTTCAACCGGCTAGGGGTGCATCATTACATCCCTAATGTGTTTAGCCTACCTCTGATGTTTCTCAGTGTGTTTTGTGCTCTGGCCAGCAAATCCTCCAGTGAATTCATACTAGAGTTTAAATATTGCTCTAACTCCCATTTTTTCTTCTGCATCACACAACAACCACATGAGTTCTGGTCAGTCAGACATGCTAGTGAGAGAGCAATAAAGATATTAGTCACACATGTTATCTAGCTTTACATTTTGGTGTATTTCATATTGCTGTAAATTTCCATATTATTAAGATTTTCTGGGAGATTTGCTAAGACTTACGGTTGATGGGATCTGGAGCAAGGGTTTGTCCTGGTCCGTCCCAGCTGAAGGTCCTTTCCTGGCCCAGCACCAGCGGCAACACACAGAACAGCACAACACCTTTTCCTGATTAAATTGTTTACAATGCGTAATCATATTCTGTCATAACTTTCATGATACCATTATATAGTCTGTACAGCACTTAGTCTGAGTTTGGTTTAGGCTACGCTTTATGCCTCATAAAAACAGAACAATGTGACCAAATGTATAGAAATCTGTCCATTATAACTAGGCCAACAGGGAATCTGTCTGCAGATTCCCCCTTTGTTTTATTTCCGCTAATTTAATTGTTCTTTAGGCTACCAATAAGTGTGCAGTAATCTCAGCTCTATTAAACAAATTTTGCTAGGTTTAAATCGATTCTGTAGGATTCCACAGATTTTTTCCTACAAAATCTGAAAAGTTTGCAGATTTCATCAGGGCGAGCTAATATCTAACACAATTTAATATACACTAGTCAACATTTGAAGTGGATCAAAACCTTTCATCAAAGTTGTCTTAAAACCTAAAACCAAAATGCGTTCTTGTCTTAGGACAACTTTGATTAACTTTTTTTGGATCCACTTCAAATGTTGACTATATATACACACACACACAATAATATTAGATGGTAAATATTCTAAATATGAAAAAAAATTACAATTGATTATTTATTAAATTTTATTGTTGTTTAAAATCTGTACAAAAAATTGGAAAAACCCTCTTGAAGCTTTTAATTTTATTTTAATAATTATTAATAATCAGTTCATTCTGAAGCATGTGTAAGTTTCAAATAGACTAGACTTGCAATAAATTAATTGCCATAAATAAAATGTATATAAACAAATAAAAATAAATAATATTTTATATAAAATAAAATATAACCTAAATAAATATTATTCAAAGCTTTAATAATTACAAAGCAAGCAATGTCTTTTAACAGGTGCAATGATCTGTCAAGTTTGTCTGTTAGACTTTTGCTATCATAATAAATATTTCTTTACAGAATCAGATTATTTTCTCACCTTTCATGTTTCACGGCTGTGTCTGTTTCTGCCTTTTGAGTCTCAGTGTAAGTGTGTGAAAATTGGAGTCTGTGTTATATTCAGCTTTATATCCTGGCAGCACTCCTCCTCCTATTTTCAAGGAGGGAGAATCAGATTTGTTTGTGAAGAGGAGGTGTACATCAGCAATATTAATGAAAAAAAAAAAACTACAATAAGGAAAATGGGAAATGACAAAGGGAAATCAGCTCCTGTGACTGTGATTTCCCTCAGATGCACTGAAATACAAAACTCCACTGAGCTTTACCCTATACCGCCACACAATGACATGCATCAATGCCATGAAATGTGATGTAACTGAACGCAAGAATTTAAAGCTGCTATCTTTTCTGAGCAATCAGACATGCACTTTCCCAGGAAAGGATCTCTGTTTCTTATTGATTGAAGTCCCAGAACAGCTATTCAAAGAAACACACCACACCTCTGTCTACAGTACAATACAACAGCCAGAGAAGATGCAAAAAGTCACAATAATGTGTGCTGTAATTTAAGTAAAGTATTCTCACATGGCGTTTCTTTATTTTACTTTATTTCAACTCAAGTTCAGTGTTTACAGTCTGATAGAGATCTCAGTGCAACAAAGCCAAGAAGCTCAAACAGCGCACAATAAAGCTCATTTAGCCAGCAAAATATTAACCCCAGCAGAGAGTAAGAAGCACTTAAAGGGATAGTTCACACAAAAAACAAAATCCTCAAACAAAAGTCGTTTACTCACCTTCATGTTGTTTCAAATCAGTACAAATTACTTGTTCTGTACATTACAGAGTCAAGAAGATATTTTGAAGAATTTTGGTAATCAAACTGTTTGGTGATCATTGGGGGGAAAACACTAGGACATTTTCTCAAAAGTCTTGTTTTATGTTACACACAAAAAAAAAAATATAGAAAATCATTTTGGAATGGTTTGAAATGACATGAGCGTGAGTAAAGAATGACAGTTTTCATTTTTGGGTTATTATTTGTTTTTGTTTTTGTCTTAAATTCTCATTAATTTATTTGTCTAAAATGGCTTGCATTCAAGATATGTATCTTATCAGCATGTGTGTTCCCTGGGATTCAAATGGATGTTTTTCAGGTAGCTAGCAGGTATGGACAGACAGGCAGGTCGCTACATGGTGGTAAGAACCAGTGTAAAAAAAAAAACAAGCATCACCAAAGAGTGATTTATAATGGTAGTAGAACATTAACTGTGAAGTGCTCGCAAGTGTAAAAGTAATAAAGACACTGGTTTTCGTGCAAGGTTTTAGCCAGGGGTTTGTTTTTGTAGGCAAGCCACGACACAGCTGCTGAAATAAAACCAGGAAGACTTCAAACATATGCTCATTATGTCATGCATAAAGCATTCTTCAGCATTCATCTTTTCCTTTCACTCATCCTCTTTTACTTTGCTGTCGTAGGAGCCTTGGCCTTTGTATGCTGAAACGTAGCCGCTGGCATCAGGGATGTCTTCCCTCCCTGAACGGCCTTTTCCCTTTCCCGACTCATTAAAGCGCTCCTTATGAGAACCAGTGTACTTGCTGGTGTCTGTTAACCTGTCTACAGCAGAGGCTTTTGCCACTTTCTGTGGAGAGAAAAAGATTATCAGTGGTTATTGTGCATGTTTATTGCTTAATCTACAAAAATAGACTGGCTGGTACTCACAGTGACACCAACATTGGCGGGTTCTTTGCCAGCAATGAGACCATAGAGAAGCTGTACTGCCTCTTCCTGGCTCTTCCCTTTAAAACGTTTTGTGGCCAACTCAGCCATGGCTTGAGTGAACTGCTCAAATGTGATGACACGTGCTGATTTAGCCCTAAAACACATAAGCAGATACAAAACAGCACAGCCTTAGGTCCAGTCATGCATGTGAAGCACAGCATTCAATGAAAAACTGTTTGCTGTCAGTCATTGTGAGGATAATCATACTTGACTTTGCTAAAGATGATGTCCACATCCGTGCTGGTGACAGTTTTGTCATCGATGACCTTGCAGTCCTTACACAGCTTGATAAAGTTTTTTCCGTTCATCTCCTTCCCCATCGCTTTGGTGTCTCCATGAACTGCAAATTTATGAAATGCTGTTTCAACATCTGCCAGTGATACTTCACCCGAACCTTCAGCCATGCTGTCAGATCAAGTATGAGAGAAAGAATGACAGAGAAAGAAAGACAGATGTTTTAAGGTTTTGCTCATGAAATTTTATGTTTTATTGCATTATTATAACACTGATCTCTCCACTCCTAGCCTCATGATTGATCCAGTTATTTTAGTATTATTCATATACTATTATAGAGTTAGAATTATTATTTTAAATTGGCATTTATTGTTAGATTTTCATGTCTTTTAATTTTAGTTTATTGCATTATTATAACACTGATCTTTCCACTCCTAGCCTCATGATTGATCCAGTTATTTTAGTATTATTCATATACTATTATAGAGTTAGAATTATTATTTTAAATTAGCATTTATTGTTAGATTTTCATGTCTTTTTAATTTTAGTTTGAGTAATTTTTGTGCTTTTGTCATTTTAATTTTTTTTATATTTTTGTTTTGCTTTATTTTTATTTCACTTCTAGTTTTAGTAGTTTTTTGTGTAATATTTATATTTCATTTCAGGTTTATTTTTAAATTTTAAAATGATTTTAATAGTTCCAGCTGTAAATCTTTGACATGATATCACGTATGTTCACCTGTTCATGTGCAGCCATAGCAGATTCTGTTTTTGTTACTGTAATGAAGGGAGGTGTGACAACAAATTGGGGATCCACGTGCAGGCTTTATTCCATTGAGCGTAGTCAGAACAGGCAGGGTCAAGCACCAGCAAACAAACACATCCAGGACAAAGGCAAAAAAGTAATCCACAAGTCAGGCATTAGTCAGGGCAGGCAGCAATCAATCAAAAACAAGGTAACAGTTTAAGGATCAAAACACGAAGGCAAGGAAACATGGAAGCCAGTGGAGCAGGAAGCCAGGGCGGAGCAGTAAGCCCAGGGCAGAGCCGGCAGAGTGCCAGGGCGGTGCAATGAGCCAGGGTGACGCCGATGGAGCAGGTAGCCACGGTGGAGCAGGCAGAGCTGAAGATGGAGCAGAATACCACCAGAGCAGAGCTAAGATCCACCACGGCAGAGTTGAAGACAACCAGAATGGAGCAGAAGACCACCAAAGCAGAGCTGAGGACCACCACGATGGAGCAGACAGAGCTGAAGACCACCAGAGCAGAGCTGAGAACCACCACTGCGGAGCTGACGACCACCAGGGCGGAGCAGAAGACCACCAGAGCAGAGCTAAGAACCACCACGGCGGAGCCGAAGACCACCAGGGCGGAACTAATGGTGCAGGATACCAACAAGGCGGATCAGGCAGAACTGGAGCTTAGAGCACAGAGAGGTTAACAATGGCCTCAACGGCCGTAACAGGACTGGAAGACAGTTCAGAAACGTCATCTTTGGCCGTAACAGGGCGAGCAGAGAGTTCAGGGGTAGCCCTTTTGAATGTGGCTGGACAGAGTTTAGAAACTACCTCCTTGGTCGGAACAGGATAGGCAGAGAATTCACAGACGGCCTCCATAGCTGTGACAGGACAAGCAGAGAGTTCACAGACGGCCTCCATAGCTGTGACAGGACAGGCAGAGAGTTCACAGATGACCTTCTTGGTTATGACAGGGCAATCAGAGAGTTCGGTAGAGGCCCCTTTGACCGGGACAGTGCACTGAGTGCATTCAGCGGCAGTCTTAGTGACCGTAATAGGCAGGGCTGAGAATTCATGATTGGCTTCTAGGGCCGAGACTGGTATAACAGGGGATTCACTGACAGTCTCCATGACCTCGTCAGTACAGACAAAGAGTTCATAAGTGGGCACCCCTGTCTAAAGAGTAGCTGAAGTGAACACCCCCGCTAACTCTGGAGGTTCTGCAGGGGATGCTGCCACCTCTAGAGGTTCTGCAGCAGATGCCGCCACCTCTGGAGGTTCTGCAGCAGATGCCGCCACCTCTGGAGGTTCTGCAGCAGTAGCAACAGGAGCTTCAACAGACACAGATAGTTCAGAGATGGCACTCGCTGCTGTAACAGAGGCATCAGGTAACAGGGAGAGTTCGATAATAGTGTCCGTGGTAGAAACAGAGGTGACAGGGAACACCATGAGCTCGGGAACGAGTGCTACTACTGTTAGAGGAGGTTCTGCAACAGAAGTTGCCACCTCAGGGGGAACAGGAGCAGACTCTGGATCAGACTCATAGACTGGAGCCAACTCGGGAGCGGACCCATGGACAGGAGTGAGCTCTGGAGCAAACTTGGGGGCTGAAGGAGGCTCGAAATGGATTCAGAGAGTCCAGCGAATTCTGGAGCAGACTCTGGGACTAGAGTGGACTCGGGAGCAGATTCATGAACTAAAGCCATTTTTGTACTGGGCACAAGAGCTGAAGACCTCATTAGACTAAGGTCAGGGGCTGGAGCAAACACTGAGCTTTGTTCCGAGGCTGAAGCAGACACAAGACTAAGGTCATGAGTGGAAATAAACATGGGGCAGTGGTCATGGACTGAAATCATCTCTGGGCTAGACTCGGGAACAGGGGCCCTCTCTGGGCTAGACTTGGGATCAGGAGCCTTCTCTGGGTTAGACTTGGGATCAGATTCGGGGAGTAGAGTGGGCGCCACCACCTCGGGAGTTCTGCAGTGAAGGCTGCCACCTCTGGGGAAACTACGGTGGTGTGTGCAGCCCAAACACAGAGAATGGCCGTAGCCATAACTGGCAGGACAGAGAGTACATTGTCTATTTCCGAGACTGACGGTGCTGTGCCTGGGGAACAGGAGTGAGTAGCGGTCAGTAGGATTGCTAGCATTGAAACCGTGTCACTTGAGAACGCTGAAATCATGTCACTTGATTGTACAGAGAGAGGGGTGCTTTGGAGCATAGAATCTGCTTGTCTAGTAAGCGTAGAGTCTGCGTGGCTCGTGGGTGCGGAGTCTGCATTGCTCGGGAACGTAGAGACCCTTGGAATGCCAGCAGCTTGCACCGACACCAACTGAGGGTCCTCCATGCTGGATGCCAGCCTCGTACGCCTTGGGACTGACTTTGTCTTCAAATGCAACATTCACGATGCTCTGGAACACTGGAGTGGCATCCGTGATGGCTGAAGACTGTGGCCTGACATCCCTAAAGGCCGGAGGCTCTGGCATGGCGGCCCTGGTGTGAACAGGCTCTGGCTTGGCAGACTTGATGTGAGCAGGCTCTGGCTTGGCAGACTTGACGTGAGCAAACCCTGGCTTGGCAGACTTGACATGATGTGACGAGACTCTGGAAGATCAGCTAAGAAGTGATGAGATTCTGGAAGATCAGCTGAGACGAGACAAGGTTCTGGAAAATCAACTGAGACAAGACAAGACTCTGGAAGATCAACTGTGACATGATGAGACTCTGGAACGGCAGCCATGACGGGACGAGACTCTGGAACAGCGGCCTTGACGGGACGAGACTCTGGAACGGTGGCCATGTTGTGGAAATTCTCTGGGCTGGCTGCCATTTTGTGAACAGTCTCTGAGCTGGCAGCCATTTTATGAACAGTCTCTGAGCTGGCAGCCATTTTTCAAAACGTTTCTGGGATGGTAACCATTTTGTGGATAGGTTCTGCTTCTCTCACAGTGAAAGGAGAGCCACATAACAACAGAGCATAGTCCATAAAATCTCTCAAACTATCATTATAACCCACTTCGGGTAACAATGACTTTGTTGGCTAACTGAGTCCAAAACAGAACAAGTCCTTAAACAAAATCTCATCATAAATCAGCACACGGTGTGAAAACTCACAGAATAGATGAATGTACTCCTCGATAGACAGGTCCTTTTGCCGAAGGTGAAGTAGCTGGTCAACTGGGTCCATGATAGGTCTGCAACACTGAAAAAGCCACTGGATCCGGGGTTGGCTGGTGATTCTGTAACGAAGGGAGGTGTGCCAGCCAGTATCCATCCAGTCAACACGCTTCAGGAAAGTATAATCCATTTACAATTCAAAAAGACAATTAAGGCAAAATTAAGATGGCTTTAACAGGAGGTGACAACAAAGTGGGGATCCACGTGCAGGCTTTATTCCATTGAGCGTAGTCAGAACAGGCAGGGTCAAACACCAGCAAACAAACACATCCAGGGCAAAGGCAAAAGAGTAATCCACAAGTCAGGCAATAGTCAGGGCAGGCATCAATCAATCAAAAACAAGGTAACAGTCCAAGGATCAAAACACGAAGGCAAGGAAACATGGAAACTAGAAAACTTGAAAACTAGGAAACATTCAATCACCAGCGAAGACAGAGAGTGTGTGTGCTACTTTTAAAGTCCTTCTAATGTGAGCTAGCTGTGAACTGATGATGAGATCTGATGAAAGACAGGTGATGCAATTGATGAGTCCGTGCAAAGGATTATGGGAAATGGAGTCCTGGGTAAAGTGGCAAAAGTCTGGAGTGGAGTGCCCTCTAACGAAGCTCACGGGCACTCCAGCTAGAGATCCTGACAGTTACACAGAAGCATTCCAGATCTTCTAGTGCAGGGGTGTCAAACTCAATTCCTGGAGGGCCGGAGCCCTACAGAGGTTTGTTCCAACCCTGCTCCAGCACACATACCATGTAGTTTTCAAATAGGCCTGAAGGACTTGATTAGTTAGATCAGGTGTGTTTAATTAGGGTTGAATCTAAACTCTGCAGGGCTCCGGCCCTCCAGGAATTTAGTTTGACACCCCTGTTTTAGTGGAAAGACGCCTCTTAATGTACCTGCTTTGCATTTTAATGAAAATGTGTGTACTGTAATGTGTATTGTTTTTTTAATATAAAGTTACTGTTTTACTCAATGCTGTACTGTTGTGTTAATATTGTCATATGTTTATGTCTGCTGGTTATGTACAGCGAAAGCTTCTGCAATGTTCTGGTTACACCCAGAGTTACTGTCCCACATTGCTCCATTATCTTCCATACTCACAAATGTCATGCTCATTTACCACACACACACATAATGTATATTACTCTCACTAAAAGCCTTAATGAAGTCCACTTTACTAATTTAGCTTCAGCTGACTTTGGCCCCCCCCCCCCTAATATTGGGTCTTTTATCCATAAATATATATATATAAAATAGGGCTGCATGATATATCGTTTCAGCATCAATATTGCTATGTGCGCATTCGCAATAGACACATCGCAGGATGTGCATGTTTAGTATACTGATCATTACATTTATACTGATTGTTTTCTTTGCTCACACACAGACACCATGTCTACACTGGACACGACAAAGCGACCGTTGTCATTTGAACTTTGTGTCAGTTCGTCATAAATAGAATGAGGCATCAGTTTACTGTCAGGGATTTGTCGTGTCGCGCCGCATCCAGTGTAGACAGCATCACTGATTATAATGGGTTCTATAGTATTTTGTCACGCCGTGCGCCGCCGCTCGCATCCAGTGTAGACACGGTGAGAGCCACGCAGATGCACATGAACACTGAATTCCATTCACTTCTGCGTCTAATTGTGCCTGAAATTACACATAAGCGCGAAATTATGGCCATGTTCACACTGCAGCAGAATATGGTTAATGCGCTTTTGAGTCACACACAGTTCGGTTATTTACGGGCATAACAACAGCATTCTGTAACAGAACTCACACCCGTAAATTTTTAGGATTCACAACCGCATTCTCGGAACACACGCGCTGTGTGAAGGGAACAGGACTGGACAACTAGTTGTCTGTCATACAGTGCGAGAGAGAGCTGCTCTGCCTCTGCCGCACAAACGCGTGTCTAACGAGTGTTACGTGTTTTCATGTGCGTTTTCGGTAACTTACAGTGACGGAGAAATGAGCTGCGTGTCATCTGAACGTTTTAAATCCCGTCAGTTTTCCACCGGAGCGCTCCCGTCATTTTTTGTGTTGTGCTCGCCTCGTGATTCAAATGCTCCGCACTCTACCCAAGTTTAAAAGCTGCTGTTGGTTAATGAAGATTTGACGAAAGAACTCGCAGCTCGATTGGACTCTGTCGTGTCAGAAAGTGATTTACTTTTACGTTACAGAAATTACTTTTAGGTTAGGTTAGGAATACGGGCTTGACTCCCGTTGCACGTTCATACAGACAGTATTATAAACTGTAAGCTGCTGTGTGAACGGGACATTTCGAGACTCACACCTGGAAAGAAAATGCGGTTGTCAATCCCAAAAACTGACAGTGGTAACGTAGCCTATGTCTGCAAGTATCCTTGTAAACACAGTTGCTTATGGCTTAGGTGAAGGTAAACAGTTGAGAAAGAAAATGGATGTGTAACAGTATATTGGTTCACAGCAGTTTAATGTTCCTGTTGCTTTCTGTGTCATGAATGTTAATCAAACAAATCACATAGAGAAAAATCACTTTTGTAGCTTTAACACAGATTTATTATATTTAATTTATACAGTGAAGACTATGCAGTATTATTTTACATTTGATTATTCAATTTCTACCTGAATACTGTTAGACTTACCTGAAATAATATAAAGCACGGTTTATTTCATTTGTATCTTTGTTCTATTATATTTATCTATGCTTGTAATTTGTTTATTTTCTATGCTGATTTACTCGCCTACAAAATCATCCCAATCATTGATAATTTTTTTCCAAATAGAGCTATTCAAGTCATCTGGTGATTTTTTTTTTTTCATATCGCAATATATATCGCAGAAAATAAAATATCGTAATGTAATTTTTTTCCAATATCGTGCAACCCTAATATAAAATATAAATAAATATGCATATCTTTATAGGCAGAATAATGGAATACAAGTAAATTAAATCAAAATTACTCAAAAAATGCATGAAACTCTTGCTTTATTATAAATGAAAGGACTCTGGTAAACAAGTAATAGAGCTCATGTTCCTTTATTCCATAGGCACTTATTGTAGTCAAATAATGCATCTGTCAAATAATGCAAATAGTGCACTGTATCATCTGAAAACAGTACTATGAAAACATGCTAACTATATCTCATGCATAAAGCCCTGTTTGGTCTTGTACGTATAACAGATGCTTCCGGATGGGTGTGTGTTATTGAGAGGGAGATCCAGCCTACCTGACAGTGAGTTGGACAATCCTGGATACTGATGCTAAGCTGCTACTGAAAGGATGCTGAATGTGTCTGTGTGTTCCTCTGTCTTCGTCTCTGCCTGGTAGGTGTGTGTGTGTGTACAATGACGCAAGACAGAGGGGAGGAGAGAGCACAGCCCAGCACAAATGATGACATCACTCTCTCTCTCTCTCTTTCTGCCACAGGCCCTCTTGTCTTTCTGCTTTTTGATTTTCTCTGCCTCTTTGGCCCTTTTATTTGTCCTCTTTTCTACTTTGCTGACTAGATATAGCAGTCCTTCACTTTCAACCCTCTCTCCCTCCTCCTCCTGCTCTCCTCCTTCTGTCTTTGTTTTTGTCTCTCTCTGCTGCCACACCCTCTCCCATCAATCTCCGCGGAGCAGCGTTCAGATGTTACATAGTGAAGCCACACGCGCACACACAAACGTAGTTGGACTGTGATGCTCTAAATTTTATTTTCTGTAATGGCTTCAGGGCACCTCTGTCTAATGTGTCTGTGCAACTCACCACTTACTCAAACCACAACCACATATAGATGAAGACCCATTCACAGCAGATCACCATTGCTGACAACACAACTAAAGGAACAATGACTGTTTACAATCTTAAATATAAAGGTTATTTATTGGCATTGATTGTTCCATGGAGAACCTTTAACATTCACGGAACCTTTCCATTACACAAAATGTTGTGTAACAAGGTTTATTTATTTATTTTTTTTTAATGTTATTTTAAGACTTTGTTCATAGAAAGATTATTTGGGGAACTCAAAATGGTATTTCTCTTGCATCAGTTTGAAGCTACCCCTTTTGAAACCTTTTTTAAGACTGTACATGGACCATAATAATTGGAATTTGGTCATATTCCAGTTGTAAATGTGATGTGCGGTAATGGCATTAACAATGATTGCTATAACCAGAATAGGCCAACATAATATCTACAATAACTTCACATATGAACATATAATTATATCTGCATATGTCCAAACTAAGCTAAGTCCTGGTAATACTAAATTAAATAAACACATTGTTGGATAAAAAACAACTTTAGATTTTTTTTTGCTAACAATTTACAAAAATTGCAGTCAACTTGATGGGCTACATTTTGCAATACATTTTGGAGATAAAATAATGAGCTGAGATTGTGCATCTCCAGTATTTCCTCAGTCAAACCCTTTATTTGTAATAAAAAATATTTATTCAGCAGTGCAACAATTTAAAACCAGTACTGGAAAAATAATTTGAATAAGCATAGCATAACTTTGCTTTATATGAACTACAAGAGCTCCCTCTACAGTATGCTAGAAAAATTGGTCGCATATTACATTCAATGGCTACAAACAACCTGAAGACAGATGAATCCTGAAGGTCACAAGCATTAAACAGATCCATTCATAGGTTATTACTTGCTGAAGATATAGATTACAAGCTGCAAAAAGCGTTATAAATGTCTGCAACGCTTGAGCCTTATAGAGAATGACAATTGGAAAAAGTACCAAAATGTCTGGACTCTGGAGACATTTGTGTATGTAAATGTTTTGAGACCGGTGGAAGAAGTTTGGAAATGTAACATTGAAGACATGAATATAAGAGTACTCATAAATGTTACTTTTCATTCAGTATTTAAACTAAATGTATCCATTTACTAACAAATTATATATATACATGCAATTTCAACTTTATTAGGTCACCTTCCTAAAACGGGTTGGACCTCTGTTGACCCCAGAACAGCCTGAATTCTTTGTGACATGGATTTAACAAGATGCTGGAAACATTTTTCCAAGTTTATGGTCCATGTGAACACAAAAGTATTAGGTATGTAGCTGCTGCATATTCAAGAAGATGAATGGACTGTGATCATAAGGAAGCACATGATCACGGCTGTGGCTTATAAACAATGTTCAAATGGTATTAATAGGGTGTTGCAATGTGTGCAAAGAATGTGTGTCTTTTCTCTGAAGTGCAGATCTGGCAGCTCATCCAGATGGCGGCTCAGCATCCTTTACCGTTCCCTCCCTGGGCCTGCAAAGACACCATTGGGAATATTCATATTCAGTATTCAATATTCACTGTATTTTTAACATAATGTAATGTAATGTAAGAGCAAGGGCATTATGCTGTGTGATGTTGCAAACCAACCAGTATTTATAGTATATTTTATTCATAATCGTAATCATAATCACAAATAATTTTGCTATTTACCACACTTTCTAATTTTTCTCTTTACCTATCTACAGTATAGCAGCTAATGAATCGCACATTCACAGGAAATAGCTTCTATATTGAAAAATAAGGTGAATACTAAAACTATGATGATAACATTTCTCAAACTAAACAAGAATAATAAATGTAAAAAAAAACCACCTAAAATGAGACAAAAACTGTGGAAAACTACCCAAAATAAAATAACAATAATCGTTTTAGTACCATCTGTGTAAACAGATTCATTGGGTGCCAGAAAAATGGCCAGGTAATGGAAGAAATATACATATACGTATACGATCCAAAGAATGCTGTAGTGAGTTTCCCTTCATGTCACCAGTCAGTTTGACCTTGAAATTCTTCATATCCAGCATTTAATTGTTTATGCTTTACCTGCATAATACTATGCTGAGTGTTTACAGTACACACTGAGCTGTCACGTCACTGTAGTTTACTTACAGAAGGCAAGCACTGACTAGACAAATTTATTCTAACAAGTTTCCATATTTACAGACACAACAGTTTCAAATTTCACTGCAGTTCATATGCAGAAATAGAGAGAGTGCCTTGGCTGTTCACTTTCATTTGTTAGAATTGTTACCTTACAGGAATAGTTCACCCAAATATGAAAATTAGTCAAAACTTGTATAACTTTGTTTCCTCTATGAAGCATAAAAGAAGATACTTTGGACAAATGTATTGTCCATGAAAGTCAGTGGGGTCCAATGTTGTTTTCAACATCATTCATACCAGTTTGGAACGACATGAGAACAGAATTTTCTTTTTTGGGTGAACAGTCCCGTTAAACTTGCTTTAACATTTGCTATAATGCTGAAATTGTGTTCTGAATGATTTTTTTCTGGAATAGAAATGCAAGTTACATGTGCCTTACAATCCCTCATCTATGTAAACTATTGTGGTCCCTTCCTCCAGCCTTCTTTCTGATCTATAAATACGGGTGTGTTCCTGCTTCAGCTGCTCTTTCAATTCACCTTTCTTTCTCACATCTTTGTTTTAGAAAATGGCAGAATCTGACTACCTCGACTACACCTGCCCCCTTTGCACAGACATCCAGCGAGACCCTGTCACCATCCCGTGTGGAGACACCTTCTGCCTGGAGTGCATTAAGATCTACTGGGACCATTCTGACCACCTCGGTGTGTACAGTTGTCCGCAGTGCCAGACGACCTTCACTCCTCGGCCCATACTCAGACGCAACGTGCCCCACGTAGGGAACCCGGAGCCTCGGCCGCCCCCTCGTGAGCTCAACCCGTTTCCATACTTCAAGCGTGATGCGCTGTGTGATTTCTGTACTGGTCGGCGGAACAGAGCGGTGAAGTCATGTCTGATGTGTCTGGCTTATTACTGTGAGACTCACATCAAGCCTCATTACGAATCGGCCACATTTAAACGACACAAACTGGTGGATGAGACGGGACACCTGGATCGGAAGATCTGCCCACAGCATGAAAAAGGCTTAGAGCTTTTCTGCCGCTCAGACCAGATGTGCATCTGTGTGCTGTGTACAGTAAGAGAACATCGCAGCCACAACATAGTCAGCGCAGATGATGAACGCACAGAGAAACAGGTGAGACATAAGATTAGAATTGTTGTGAATAGATCGGGGCAAGCTGTCACAGGGGTCATATCTGAGAAACTGTAAGTCCAAGTACTGAAATGTGTTTTTTCTACCAGTGGTTTTGTATTGTGGTTTCAAACATCTACTTCAGAAACTAGAATAATAAAAATTTGAATAATGTTTGTGATTTCAAAGTCATAATTTTGTAGTCACCTAAGGAAGATTGAAGGTTGAACTGTGTTCTCAAAATAATGATATTTTTTATAAACATCAAGTCAGAGAAAGTTGTCACAACTGGTTTATTCATTAATTCATATTTTTATGGTTAATTCATATTTAAATGGCAGTTTTCATTGGCTAAAACAGTGGTTTAGTATTGTAGTTACCACTTTTTACAGATAAATCTTCAGTGCTTTGACTATTCCAGAGTAAAGAGTCAGCTGATAACTAGCCCTATGCATTGTGCCATATACTCTGTGGACAGAGGTTTGAACACTTTAACAAAAGATTATATTGTAAGAATCATCTGCACCAAATCTGCATTTTTTGATCACAAATACAGTAAAAACAGTAATATAGTGAAATAATAAATTTTTAAATAATGGTTTTCTATTTGAATATATTTTAAAATGTAATTAATAAGAGCATTATTTTCTTTTTTAAAAAGTCATCCGAAACCTGAATGGTGGTGTGTATATGGGTACATGAATATCACACATTGCCAAAAGAAAACAATGATACATACCTAACTAACTGATAGTTTTTTTTCTTTTCTTTTCTTTTTTTGCATGTACTGTTTGTATGTGATTATAGAAAGTCTTGGTGGTGACTCAGACAGAGGTTCAGCACATTATCCAGGATCGGATGAAAGAACTTCAAGAACTCAGACACAATGTGGATGTTCTCAAGGTTGGTCCGATCAGGAGAGTCCTAAAGAAGCTTTGGGACAAAACATTTCTCACTTTTATGTAATTTAAGTGTCATTATAACTATACATCTTCATTTTCAGACATAATCAGAACATAAACCCTAACAGTTCAAAGAGATACTTTGAGATATTAGATATGTTATTATCGGTCATTTATTGCCCATGAAATGGAATGGGGAAAGAAAGAAAGAAAGAAAGAAAGAAAGAAAGAAAGCAGTAGGATTGCTGTCATACAAATTCAAGTAATCAAACATCTAAGATACTATTTGTCAAAGTCAGAAACAGTATATATAATATGTTGTTTACTAACATGTACTTAGTACAACTTAAAAATGTCCCAGTTATCCCATTCTCTCAAAGGCATCTGACTTTGATGCAGTGCTCTGTGCTGCCCCCTTGCAGTGTGGATGCATGCTGTTGTTGACTGTT